CCTTCGCTAAAACCACCAAGATTTCTTGAACTAATAGGTTCTCGACGGAACTGAAATGCAACCCATAAATACAGCTAAAATAGACCTCCTTGTTTTGGCCTTTTACCTTCCTACTAAATGCTACTATTTAATGCGGGCCACTACAGCGATTGCTGCTCAGGTTTTGTTAAGACGAATGACAAAATAAGATATTCAACAGCGTTCCTAAGAACTGGAAAACCCAAAACTTTGATGTAAGCGTTGGGTTTAAAATTTCACAGATTGTAAGAGAAAGGGCAAAACAAGGAACCATCGCAATAAAAATTCCGCTGGCGGTTTAAAAAAAAAATTTTAAAGTTCAAAAGTACCAATTTAAACTTAACTGCGCTGCGTGAAATGAAAGAGATGTTTGACATCAGGCTAAGTTACCGTTTTAAGACTTTGAGTGTTTTATTTGGCAAAGAGATCCAAGAGGCCAGTTGAAATCCTAGACTCATTAACATTTAATTATTAAATGCTAAAAGCTTTATCACTCGGTTTTTTGTAACAGCATGGCGGTGGTTTTCGGAATAGATGCGCGGCCATCAGCAGAAGTGCTACCGTTCAGGTGCTGCTTCAGGTGGTGTTCCAGCTCTTGAGGACTTGCGCATATTTTCTGGCATACCGAACAAACTGTTTTCCACATCCACATCACAGCGTCCATTTGATTTTGCGTACAACCACCGGAATTCACTTGCGGCAGTAACGGAAGTGGAAATGGGAGTACAGGGAACGAAGGTAGCGGGGGCTGTGGCGCTGGTGCTGAAGGTGCCGCTGCTGTAGAGGGAATTGTGGTACCCGAGCGCGAAGAAAAGGACTCAGACGTGAAGGTGGTTGGGCGGATTGCAAGAACTGATGGATCGTATGGTGCACGAAGAGCCCCTTCAGACACAGCACCTAATCCAACAGATGGTAGCATCTCAGCGCGTAGCATATCATCGGAGGGGCCAAACTCGAAGATGCGTCGACCGCGCCTGGATGGACTTTGTTGCCACATATGTGTACCCATGTGCACCTTTAAGTTACCACGTGTTGTGAACGCTCGGCTGCAAACTTCGCACTTAAATGGCTTATCACCTGAAAAATAACCAATATAGAGTTCACTAAATGCACTCTTGCACTTCATATAAGAAAGCATTACAGCGAAGTTTTTATCAAATGCGTAAACTTTTGCTATATGTGTCTAATATGGGTATTTTCCAAATTCATTTTGAAAGAAATCATGAATATAAGTACATTCAAACATGAACGCATGCGAACAAGACCCGGACGTTGAAAAAAGAAAATGAGACAAATCAAGAAGAGGGTAGGATGGAGAAGTTGCTTGATATATCAGCAGCGAGAAAACCTCAACTACAAAACAAAAGCTTACCAAAGTAAGTAAACAAGCAAGTAAATGAGTAGGTAAGCAAGTAAGTAAGTAAGCAAGAACGTTAGGCTGTGCAGCTAGGCAAACCAAGAAATTTCAAGTGGTATATGATTTATAACCATGTGCGAGATGACGACATGCCCAAGATCGACTGTTGAATCTCAATGTTTGCTGACCTTATAGCCCTCCATGCTCTCAACTTTCAATTCAGAAGGATATTACAGTACTTCAGATGTGCTTCAAATGCAAGATCTAG